CCATGCCATTCCATCTCATCGCACCGCATCCCATCGCACCGCATCCCATCGCACCGCATCCCATCGCACCGCATCCCATCGCTCCGCATCCCATGCCATGCCATGCCATCGCACCGCATCCCATCGCACCGCATCCCATGCCATACCATGCCATCCCATCCCATCCCATGCCATCCCATGCCATCCCATGCCATCCAAAACAGTAAAAAATAATAAGAAATCGAAAGATAAAAGACATTAAATATAAAAAATATAAAAAACGGGAAAAAAAATTAAAAATTAAAGTGGTTTGTCATCGTCGCCAGACCCAGGAGTAGAATTGCTGCATGGTGCATTCGTGGAGGGGTTGGGCCCCTGCCTGGGTTGGGAAGTGCAGCTCCAGGGGGTGCAAGCACTGCATGACTCACTGTATGTTGAATAATCGGAGACATAAGTTTCTCGTTTTGACTGTGTTTGCAATCTTAAGGTCATTGTCTTTGACAAATTGTACTTTGCTCTGGCCTTTAGGTCGAAGTGTTTTATGTAGTCATTCCTTAATTTGTGAGATACTTGTGACATTTACATATGGGAACCATAACTGTGCTTTAAAAAAATTGTATTTAAAAAAATACTAGAAAAAAAATATGCTAAGAAGTGGTTTTCAGATTTTGTTGTTGCAAACGTTGCGCAGTCAGTTAACTATGACATTTGCTAGTGATTTATGTGGTACTATAGTGGTATGTAGATTGCTGGCATCATCACAGTAAAACTGTGCAGAAAACTATATATCATGCCAAATGGTGACTAGACGTTGCAGCTGGGCAACCAAGGCTAAGAAAGGGTAATGTATTGTCATTCTATAAACCTGGGTTGCCGCATGTCCAGCCAAGTGTATGAGGTAGTGTCTTATGGGTCTCTAGATCCAAGATTAGGTTGATGGTACGTACGTATAACATTAAAAAGTATGTGTTTTAATATTGTCGGTGATGGGAATTATGGTATAATGCCTGTACCTCAATCTTTAATGACTAATGTGATAAACCACAACACTGCTTCTCACAGTTGGCTTTGTTGTAAACAGAAAGCATATAGTGTGTAAGTGTGGCAGTTTTCTAGGCCATTGTTGTTGGATTGTGACAAAAAATACCACGACTAGCGTCAAAATATGTGCAAGCAGGTTTGTTCCTTTCGTTTCGATAATGTAGTTCGTCATTACGTGTTTGCTGTAGGTGTAGCATAACTTGTAAACTTGTCAGTATGTGTTCACGCACGCATGTGGTGCGTATGGCAGCTGAAGCAGCCGTCACCCCCGTGTATGAGAAAGAGACAGAATGGGTGAGCTTTTCCTGTTAATATCGTTATCGATTATTGTATCCATTTTATTAGTCACCCATCGGGACATAGCAACCTGATCACGTATTTTGTTAAGTGAAGCCAAAAGGATCTCTTATACCTACTCCCAATGAAACTTGCCTTTGTATCTTAGTGTGGAAAGTACATATATGCCTTTTCTATACGATAGTCCTGCAGACAGGCAAGAACATATAAGTGGATTTGGTGCAGAGAGAAACCGAGAGCGAGCAGGAGTCGAAGAAGAAGACGAAGTCAGAGTAACTACTTCAAGTGACCTTTAGGTGCTAATGCAACCGTATCGCATGTGAAAAATTTCAACTCACATAATTAACACTGCTAGTGAAGGTCAACGAATGCCAAATAATAATATAATACCTGTCTCTTTGCTATTAAATTTTATTTGTTTATTTGTTACTAACTCAAGTTGGTTGTTCACTGGGAAGGCACGCGAGAGTATTGTTAAATTACAAGTTCATTGGGCAAACGGTGACATATTGCAGCCATTCTCTCTTGCACTTAAATGAAAAGTCAGACGAGCCTTCTTAGTGTCGACAAAATGAGGTGTTATTGATCGTATGTATATGTGTTGTATGTGCGTGTAAAGTGCTGGATAATATAGAATAAGGATGGAGCGCCCAGCATAGAGGACGCAGACGGCAAGCGTCTTGTAGCTGGTTGCGCGTATGTGTGCGTGCGCGTAATGGGGGTCCACTCACGCCCACCCGCCTACCCACAACCACCCTTTAGTAATAAATAGGTTATCGCAGTATGTGCAAGGTGTGAGTGTATGTGCACGGCCACTGGAGATTGAAGAGCAAGCGACCAGCAGTCGGCAGTTATATACCATTCAGTTCATAACATTATGACAATCTACCATTTGCAGACTGCCTATACAGATGTAACGGAAGGAATTGCGCTGGGTGTGTGAAAGTAGCCAAGTCTTTTTGCTCCACATATTGCGGTTGTAAGCCAGATTGTTAGCGTTTCATTTACATCCGTTCCGTCATGATCAGGTGTGAGCACTCAGCAACAGGACTTTTGTGGACTAACACATGAAGGGCGTGCTTTTGCGCTCGGAATAACCACAATGCATGCATATCTCTGGTTTACCATGGCCTCAGACTTTGTGATATTTATCCTTTTTATTAATTGTATGGTAATTGGTCTCAAATTTGTGATAATGATCCTTTTAGGTGCATCTGGTGTAGAATGTATATTTTATGTAACGGGTAAATGTATCTCTTTCAGCTTGTAACAGCGTTGTAAAGGTTTCAATCTGTTGCCGCGTGTGTGTGTGCTTGGTACAGGGTGCGTTCAACCAGACTTAACGGGATGATTATTGTATTGCATTATAATCATGGTATGATAATGAAATTTGCATTAATGAGTGTTTATTAACATATGGTTGAACACTCATTGTGATAACATACGTACACGCCGTGTATAAATTGTGATCGTTTTTAAATTATGCGCCGTTTTTAAATTGAGAATAGCTTACGCAATCACCCCCTGTACCCGCACTAGACCGGTGCCCAAGCTGCCGCCACCTGAAGGCGAAATTCTATATATGTGGAGCTGCGTATAATTATAACAACTGAGTGTATTGTGTAGTATGTTTGTTCCAGTATTTTCCGTCGACCAACTGAGAATATTGATACTTAATTGGCCCCTCATGTGTAGTAGTTCATTAAGAGCCCAATGCATTTAAGATTTGGTTTTTCTTCTCTTCCAGTGTTCGTGTGCTTTGTTTTTACCTGAGAACGCAGATACTCTTAACTTTCAAATGCCAGCAGGGTTGGCATAGTCTGCAAGCCCTCCCTGCCGTGTGTGAAATTGTATTAATGTGTTATGCTAGCTGTAGTATCATGTAGTATTGTGTTGGCTACTGGTAATAAATGGGAGTCTCACACTCCTAAAATTTAGGAGAACGGCGTCTAGCGCTTTTTATTTCACATAGGGTGATATTCTTCATGTAATCTAATGAATGATATCATGGAATGATGTAATTCTTCATGTAATCTAATGAATGATATCATGGAATGATGTAATTCTTCATGTAATGAAGGGCAGGGGTCTTAACGCTGTAGCAGCTCGTGAAATGAACTCAAGACTCGCACACGGCAATCCTGTCGAACACCGAGTTTATTGGTTACTTAGTAGTTAGACCATAGTAAGTAGACTCCCTCTGTTAACAGTCTGGTGAGGAGTGTTGGAGGGGGACATACTGCTGCCGGTCTCTTACAGATGACGAACGATAGAACACAGTGGCGATCTGTGGTAGCCAACGTCCGGATGGATATGGCACCTTGATGATGATGATGATGATGATGAGAGCAGTGTCGCTGTACCATCTACGATAAGTCTTGTCAATAGAAAATGTCTCCTAAAATCTATAGGTGAAAAAATAGGTTACTATGTCGCGTGATGCCAACCAGTGATTTTCCTCCATTGTAGTCAAACCCCCGGGGGGGGGGGCACTCCCATTGTTAAAGGTACTGGGGACGTGCCACTGGACAGGGTATATTTTCCGAACATCATTATTGGCACAGGGTATATTTTCCGAACATCATTATCGGCACCGGGTTATCTAGATACACACCCATCAAGCTGATATTGGACCAATCTTGGCAAAACAATATTGGGCCAACATCACCAGGCCAATATTGGACCAATATATATAGGCAGATATTGGTTCAATATAGGCAGATATTGGTCCAATATCGGCAAAACAATATTAGGCCAATATTGGACCACATCTGCTGTATTGACAGGACAGGACATAACCGAAATGTGCAATATTGCAACAGGGTATACTTTTTAGTGCAGTATATTGGGACAGGGTCTATTTTAGGGCATAAAGCGGTTTGCGACAGTCAGGTTTTTAAGGTCCCGGAGGCACCCACCTACCCAGTTCCGAGGCGAGTGCCCCCCACCCCGGGAGCCAAAAATTTTCTCCAAGTGACAAATCATCGACCCAGAGGGAGGGGGTTATACCATGAAAACTATAATAAACTGTATCTATAGGCTGCCGGTTCTAGTGCTTTTTAATGTGAGAAGAAAGTTCTGTAATTCGCTAATCCTGTATAAAAATTTATTATATGTGCGGACATGAAGGTATTCTTAGAAAGTTCGGCAAATAGACTAACCACACACCAGTTCCAATTTTGGTGAATATCTAAAAAAAAATTTGATTCTTGATACTATCGCCTACAATATTTGTGCACGTGTACACCTGTGATACGCGCACGCGTCTGCGGGCGTGCGTGCGTGCGTTTGAGTACGTTTATATTAAGTAATACAGATATCGACAACAACATTGAGGTCCATATATATCGAAGAAAAAACTACGATGATTTTCCTCTAGATATCCAGGCTGTCTTCATGCCTATCTTTTCACCACATAATGTAAAAATGTGGCTGGGAACTGCCCCTAACGTCGTACATTTTTTTCATAAAAAATCACGATTACCAATTGAAAAGAAGAAAACATTATGAATCGTTACCAATTTTTATTTAATACATGCACTACAAATCAAATGATCCGTTATAGATCAATATTTTCGATCATAGATTCAACATGTAAAACCATCTGAAGTCTTTCCTGCGCGTATAGTTACTAACATTTACCTGTAGTTTTACAGAATCCGAGGATCGCACGAATGTGATAGCATATATCTGTAGTGGCGGTTAAAATAATATAATGGATATAATTTCACGCCCCCCCCCCCATCGTGCTTACGTACACTGTACATTTTGCTTATCACAAACACAGAGTATATTCCCACGCAGGCATACTGATCAATTACCACCGCGATGGCCGTCGCTCCAGAAACTGTGCCTGTATTCTAGAAGAATATTTGATATCAAAACAGGACAGGAATTTTATTGATAATAATGAGTTATACTAGATTTACCAACGAAATGAAAGGACAACGTGTGAATTACTCGATATCAACTAGAAACGCTATCGACACACCAATATGAACTAATTATTGAGTAGACATACCACCAGCAACAGCAGCAGCAGCTGTAGTAGTTAATGTATGAATATGGCAATAACATGAGATATAATATAGTATAAAGAAATGCTGAATATATCCACGTCATACCAGATTAAAGGATTTTCATAAGAATACGAAATGACAACGCCAGAGTCACGTGAAGTAGATGCATGTTAAAAGTAAACTGCAGCCCTTAACACACTTTTCGACTCATTATACTGAAGTAAATGTGTCAACCCATCTATAGAAGGCAAACCTTATTAAAGATTTATGATAAACTTATAGTTCCTAGGCTATTTTGCAAATTCGTTATCGGCACACCACATTGTCCACTATTATTTATGGTACAACAGCCTACAATGCATGTTTCTATATTCTCTAACTATACAACCACAAGCCAGTTCGATAGAAGCCTTGGAAAAGGCAACGTCTTTCGGTGATTTGTAATTGCAGGCTTGCTCATTTCCACTAAATTGACCAACGATCAGTGTAAATGCTTGTGACAGCAAACTTACAGTTACAGTGGTCTCCGCTTTATTGGCGCTCGGATACACGGGCATGTCGTTTAAACAACAAAGGTCTCTAAAAAACAGTCCTGACGTACGTTATTTTAATCAGATAACAGACACAGAACCTCGGTTAAATAGAATATTTTCAGGAGGAACTTCCTTCTTTCTTCAGTAAATGTTTTAAAACGATTCTAAACTCAAAAACAAATAGACAATTGTCGAGTTTTTAGCATAATCTGAATATAATAAGCTCACATAACATCTTAGAGCTAAACTTATGTATATTGTACAGTGTGTGCATGTTGTATGTAAAAGATTGCATAAGGTACAATACAAGTAGACATGCATGTCTGACTGGAAATGTCTTCACCAGTTAATCACGATCATTGCTTAATCCGGAAATTTCCATGGTTTGAAGCTTGTCCTGATAAAGCGGGTACCACTGCATAATAATGCGCATATAATACAGCCAGATATAATGTGAACAAATAATGACTGTAAAAAGGTAAACACATCATTGTATACAGATACAGATCCAGCTACAGGTTGAATACACTTAAGGAAACGTAATATATTTTTACAGCCAAACACTAGTAGAATGAAAATGTTCACACACTTTACACAAAAATCAAAAACAGAAGTTTTGCTAAGCATTTGTGGCCAATACGATACAGAAAAATATTATTACTAACTCTACACCATAGATCATACATGTGATTATAGCATTCACTCACTATACAAGAAAGACAGCTGGTCACTCTTTCCGTTCACATTACCAGCTGCATGTACTCACTTCTTTAGGAAGTTTCAAAATAAAAGGACACCGCATGGATGTATGTGAACCTCACATAGATGGAGTCAACCGGACTTGTCTCAAATACAGAAAGAAATCGAAATACAAAATGGACTTGACACCTGCCGTGAACCTGAAAATAAAAATAAATCATTTTTTACTCTAACTTTAAAAAATAATGCCTTTACTAAAGTACAATAGCATTTATTAAATAAGTTCATTCGGTTGGTAGACTAATATAAATAAAAGGGTTAATTTTTACTATCTAGTTACTTAACCTTCAACTCACACCACACAGTCAACCACAAACTGTCAGTGGTACGGACGCTACTTGATCATAGGGATAAGATCATAACGGAGAGTGAGGACCGGGAAGCTGAAGCGCGCCACATCAAGAACGCACTAGGAAAATGCGGCTACCCCAATTGGACACTCGAAAAAGTGTCCAAGGAGATGAACACATCACGGGAAAAAACAACATCCCAAATGAAAACCTCCACAGAGAAACCGAAGGAGATGATTGTCCTACCCTATGTCAGAGGCATCACGAATGTAGTTCAGCGTTACCTAAAAAATGCAGGTGTGGCTTCAACAGTGAGACCGTTTGAGACTCTAAAACGGCTGTTGGTACACCCTAAGGACAGAACAGATATGCACAACATTATGGACTGTCTACAAGATACCGTGTGCAATGTGTGGAAAACGTTACATTGGAGAAACCGGCCAAAAATTTTAAACCCGCCTAAAAGAACACAAAAAAGACGTAGACACCGTAGCACCCAAATCGCTCACAAGGGCCCAACTAAAACAGTCGGCTACCGAAATCACCAAATCCGCGATCACTGACCACGTAGCGAAGGACAATCACACCATCGATTGGGAGAATTCGAAGATCATCGATCGCGAGCCTATCAAAATCAGGCGTTGGATTAAAGAGGCCATCTGGATCCGCAAGACCCGAAACATCAACCGGGACGAGGGGGAATACAGGCTTAGTCACGTGTGGACTAAGCTATTAACAACCACTCCATCTGGTGGTCAAAACTGATTATATTCAGTTTGCTTTGAGGAAAGCCTCCTGGCAGGAGGCGAAACGTCAGCGGTACGTTTCAAACTTTCACGGTCGAGTAAAAATTAACCCTGTTATTTATACAATAGCATTAAATTACCGATTAACAGTTAGCAATGCGAACACTATAGGTAAGTGTATAATATGTAATTAACAATTTAATGCGGTACTGATGCGCACATGCTTACAACCTTGACACTGGGGATGAAGACAAGAGCCATGCAAAATATTCGTGAGAAAAGCGACATCTCAAATAGCATGCTTTCACAACATACAGAATGAGAAAGCCTTTTAACTTGTTTCACCCGTTAAGTATCACACTTATATTATATTATATATACAGACATTGCAAGCAGCATGTTATATAAAAATCTAACCGCTATATATGAAAATTATGGGTCCGGTTATTGTAAACAAGGAACAATTCTAGGCTGGCTTCTAATTATGGACATGTAGTACAGCTACATGCATAATAGAGGTGATGCCTCTCATGCTGTGATTACGATCTCATCATAATCAGAGACAGGCAGCAGCTGAAATGCTATGGCATGCTAATAAACAGCCCTACTGTGCTAGCCGCTCAAAGCGCTCTGCTTGCCTATCAAATTTTCTAACAAAATCACTATAGTCATGTTAGATGATAGAGACTTTCCGCTACGATTTAACTGTTGTCCGTCACAGCAATGACTCTCGCCCTTACCAGGATCATAATACGTAGTCTAACTCAGTGCGCATATACGTGTTCTTCTCATCATTCAGAATCCTCGGGTATGCTGCGACCATCGCGTCTTGTGCGCCTATGTACAGCGTGTTGTAAATCTTCCAGTAGACATCTCGTACCTTTCGAGCCGGGTGGAACAACCCCTGCAACACGAGATAGAATAGTAAGCATGAAAAATGTCACCTCTACCAATATAAAATTAACCTGCGAAGAGACAGGGCTAAGTCAAATACACATCAATCAAATTCGAACCTAAAATTTCTATTTAGTATGTCCACGGATCCCACTCCTAAAAGCACCTATACCAATCTTCAAGGCTCAACCGATACCAATAGATACCATCAAGAGCATATAAAGAAGGAGAGCGTACAACGGTAAAATGCTGTAACCATGTTGCAGTATTAGTCGAATTAATAAACTTTTTCCCCGTTTTATTTTGACGATTCTTTGCAGTATTATTGATCAGCTGTCCTACCTTGTTCATATAAAACAAACCGCATGGACCTACGATGCCCCTACGCTGAGATAATGAACGGTAAAAATCTGGTATTTTCGCCGAACACCGACTAGACATTAGTCAGTACTGCGACCGACTCGCGTTCTGGCGATAGCTTTGAGAAACCTCGCGTGTTTCCGTCATTCATTGACAATGAAATTAATTTTCCTTCTACTATCTTTTCTCGCATTTCCAGTCATTGACGCAGCCATTACTCCACAAAAACGTCTTGTTATTTATAGCCATGGTGATGACCCGCCCCTTACGCTGGATCTTGGCTGGATGTAGTAACGCTGTAGAAATAACGTATCGAGTCAGCGCTACACAGCGGCGACCGGAAGCAACACACTGGCCACACTTCGAGAGTGGGTACTGACCAGACTACTGTCTAATGTCTAGTCGGTGTTCGGCGAAAATACCAGATTTCCACCGCTCATTATTTCAGCGTAGGGGCATCGTAGGGACATGCGGTTTGTTTTATATGAACAAGGTAGGACAGCTGATCAATAATACTGCAAAGAATCGTCAAAATAAAACGGGGAGTTTATTAATTCGACTAATACTGCAACATTGTTTCAGCATTTTACCGTTGTACACTCTCCTTCTTTATATGCTCTTGATACCATAATTACCATAGATACCATAGATGCCTACATTACAGATTCTCTGAAACCCAATCTCACTTCTCATCAAAGAACCTTTCAACTTGCAATCGAATTTATATCAAACAGACAACCCTACGAGGCCACTGCCAGACGAGTGAATCCGCAAAAAAATAATAAAAAATTTAAAAATCATATGACAAATTAAAGACCACGACCTAGCTGCAGCACGCATCAATAAAATCTAACTAATGAAAGCAAAAACTAAATTAAATTAAAATTAACAGACAATTCGAAAAGGCCGCTGCCAGACGAAGGAACCGCACAACTAGTTACATCGAACGACTGATTAATTCGATTAACGACGGCCAACCACCTACCTGCAGCACGTACTGCAGCATCTTGCTGCATCCGAGCGAGACGCGCAGGCCCTCGCACGCGTCCATCACTGCCTGGATGACGTGCGGCGACGTCTCGAAGATGTTCGGCCACACGTAGTTGAGCAGGTGCACGAGCGCGTCCTCGCAGCCAAAGCCGTACACGCCGAGCGACATGTGCTTGATGGCGGCGCACGCCGTCTGCCGGTGCACGAGGTCGCGGTCCATGAGCGCGTCCTCGAGCAGCGGCGTCACCGCGTAGATGTAGTCCTTGCCCATCTCGCCGATGTACTCGAAGAGGAACGACAGCGACTTCAGGACGCCGTTCTGCACGTTCAGCTCGGGCACGCGGTACTCGTTCATCAGGCCCGGCAGCACGGTAAACGGCGAGCACGTCTCGGCGACGATCGCGATCGCCACCGTCGTGCACACGCGGTTCTGCCGCTCCTGCACCTTCAGGTTGTTGAGCAGCGTCGCGAGCACGTCGTGCGGCCCGATCGCCTTCGCGATGTAGCCGAACGTGTTCACGGTCGCGCGCCGGATCGCCTTCTTGTGCGCCTTCAGCAGCTCGAGCAGCTCAAAGCAGATGCGCATCCACTCGCGCGCCGACACAAACTCGGCGCCGCGGTCGGCGATGCGGCCAACGAGGTCGATGCAGTTCTCCTGCACCTTCTCGTGCCGGTTCTTGAGGATCGGCGTCAGCCGCGGCAGCAGGTCCTTGATCGGCGGCGTCATCTTCGTCATGCCGATCACGTTGACGATGGCCTTGAGCGCGCCGAGGATGCTGCCGAGCACCTCCGGGTACTCCTCACCAAGGTACTCGTACAGCACGACGCCGAGATGCCCCATCAGCTTCTCCTCCTGGCACGTCTTCATGACGACGGCGATGCGCGAAATGAGGTCGGCCGCCTGCTGTCGCACCTTCGCCGACTTGTTGTTCAGCCGCCAGAGGATCGTGCCGCAGATCTGCGGCAGGTAGGGCTTCACGCGCTTGCCGAGCGTGTTGACGATCGTGCCGAAGCCGTTCAGCATGACGACGTCCTCGGTCGTCTGCTCCTGGAACGCGTACAGGATGCCGTCGATGAGCTGCTCCTCGAGCCGCGAGTCGACGTCACTCGAGCCGAGGTTGGCCATGATCTTCTCGATCGTCTCCATCACCATCTTGCGGTACTGCTCGTTCTCGTCCTTCAGGTCGTCGACGATGCGGCCGATGATCTCGGCGGCGCCGACCTTGTTCGCGATCTCGACCGTCGTGTCGACGAGCTGCCGGTAGTTGCGGCGGTCGAGCGCCATCCGGTGGTTCCAGAAGTGCTTGAAGAAGTGCGGCAGGATCTCGTCGCGGATGTACTGCGGCTCGACGCCATCCGTCGCACAGCACTGCTTCACGACCTTCAGCACGATCTTCTTCATCTCCTCGTCGGGCGACTGGAACTCGCGGATGAGGATCAGCATCACCTCACGCGTGTAGTAGTTGGCGTACTCGGCGTCCATCAGCGGGATCAGGTAGCCGATCGCCTTGAGGAAGGCGGCGAGGCCCTTGCCGCGGTGCATGCGGATGCCCTTCCAGAGCGGCTTCAGCACGCTGTCGAACGACTCGATGCCGTACGGAGTCGCTGCCTCGGCGAGCGCGGCGAGCGCCAGCGCCGTGATCGTGCGCACCTTCTGCTGCTCGTCGACGAGACCGTGCTCGATGATCTCGACGAGGTTGCGCAGGTGCGGCAGGATCGCGCAGCCCATGAGGATCGCGATCTGCTGCACGATCTTGATGCCCGTGTGCCGCGCCTGCCACGACTTCTTGCTGCGGCAGACGGCCTTGAGGAAGGGCAGCAGCGAGGGGATGCCGAGCGCCGACGCGACGACAGCGAACGCGCGCGCCGTCGTGTTGCGCACGTACTCGTCGATGTTGTCGATGTCGGGCCGCATCGTCGAGATCATCGTCGCGAGGCCCGCGGCCTTCGCGAGGTTCGAGATGATCTCGCGGCCCTCGACACGCGCGTAGTAGTCCTCGTCGATGAGCAGCGGCTCGATGACGACGAGGATCTTGTGCACGTACGGCCGCACGAGGTCGTCGAGTTTGTACAGGATGCGGTCAATCACCTTCACCAGCAGGTGGCGCTCCTGGTCCTCGAGCGTCGGTGACATCAGCAGCGGCAAGATCTGGTTGAAGAGCGGCCCGGCGCCCATCTCGCGCGCCTTGTCGGTGATCTGGCGCAGCGCGGCCTTGCGCATTGGCGGCGTGCCGTTCTTGATCTTCAGCAGCAGCTTCATGATCTTGCGCTCCTTCTGCTCCTCCGGCGACAGACTCTCCTCGTCGACGTCGACCAGCAGCTTGTCAAAGTACTGCGCGTCCTCCGGCTTCAGGAACGGCAGGTTGCCCTTCGGCTGGTTGTCCATGAACTTCACCGACCGGTCCTCGACGGGCATCTGGAAGCCACCGAGACCGGCGAGCGGCGTCGGCGTCGCTGTCAGCTTGCGCGCCGGCGTGCGGATCGGAATGTAGTTGGCCGGCGGCTGCAGCACCTTGTAGCTGGGCGGGAACAGGGCGTCGAGCTCGTCGTCCGACAGCGGCCGGTTTCGCTCGTCGATCTCGCGCTCCCAGCGATACGCCTGCAGCTGCTCGGGGGTCATCGACATGAGGTGGCCCGGAGTCGGTGTCGCCATGCCCATCGCCTTCCTGCCTGTCGGCGTCACGCCGCTCGGTGTCATCCCGCCAGGAGTCATGCCGGGCGTCATGCTCTGCGGGGTCATGCCCTGTGGAGTCATCCCCCCGGGGGTCGTCATGCCCGGAGTGCTCATGCCGGACGGCGTCATGCTGCCCGGGGTGGCGCCGGCGGGCGTCTCGTCCCACCTCGATCTTCTTTTGCCGGCGGGTGTGCCGCCGGGCGTGTCTTCGATGCGGTCGGTGCCTCTGTCGGTGCGCGGCGTCTCCGCCCAGCCGCTGCCGCCGCGGCCGGGGGTGTCTCGCTCCGTGCGCGGCGTCTCGTCCCAGCGGTTGCGCCTCGCGCTCGGCGTCATCGACGCCTCATGGCCGGGGGTCGCGTGACCCGGGGTCGTCGCGCCGGGCGTCGCGTGGCCGGGCGTCGCCTCCCACATGCGCGTCGTGCCCGGCGTCGCGCCCGGCGTCTCCGACCCCTTCGGTATGCGGCCCGGCGTCTCGTCCCAGCGTGCGTTCGACGGCGTCGGCGCCTCCGCCTGGTCCCAGCTGCTCGTCTTCTTCTTCGCGGGCGTGTCCTCGGCGTCGCCGGCCGCCTGGTCCCAACGTCGGCGCTTCCGTTCGGGAAGCTTCTGCTCGACGGGCGGCTCGTCTACCTTCTTGACGACGTGAAGGTCGCCGGCCTTCGCCTTCTCGACGATCTTCTTGCGCAGCTCCTGCTGCTCCTTGGTGAGAAACTGCTCTTGCATGACGGCAGCGTACGTGCGGCCGAGCACGTCCGGCGTCTTGCCGCCCTCGGCAAAGTCGTCGTGCCGCTCGGGCGAGATGATCATCTGCAGGCGCCGCTTGCGGTACTCATCCTCGCGGTCGGTGATGCGCGGCACCCGGTGCTCCGCAAACGGGTCGTAGTCCTTCTGCGCCTGCGGGACGTCGTTGAGCAGCGCCACGGGGGCGCTGTACGACGCCTTTTTGCCCGCCGCACCCGCTCCGTAGTCGTCGTCGTCATCCTGTTCGTCTGTCGCCGCGATCGAGGTGACGTAGCCTTCAAACTTTCTGTCGGTGCCGCTGTAGAGATCCTGGTCGTAGAAGCCGGTAGCGCCGAACCCTACTCGTTGATCCTCCTTTAAAACGGTCTCATTTAACCCGGACTTTTTGGCCTGAAGGTCCTTGATTTGTGCCTCGATTTCTTCATGTGTAGTGGCTGCCATTGCTCAAGTCTGCAAAGGAACACATCACCGACTTAACGACAACCACAATCTTACGCCACAGAATATACATGTCACCACGTGAGCAAAAGCAGGTCGAGAACCAAGTATTTAATCAGGATAGTGTTTCACAGTTAACTTCCCCCCGACCAACGAGTGTACCAAGTTTTTGAAAATCTTCCAGTAAGATGAATTCTAGTAAGGCGAAAAACACAATTACCATTAATTTAAAGAGGGGGGAATAAGCATTTCTAAGACCAACATTGACACCTAGCTCTCTTAAAATATCACCCAATCCCACTGAAATGAACACAATTAATTTAATCTTGCAATAGTAACTAAAAACAGGAATGTTATTACGTAACACATTTTGCAGATATTTTTTATTTATTATGTCAGACTAGATGTCTATAAAAGTGAAATAGTTTATAAAAACACATGTATTATGTATAAATGTTGATACATGGGCAAGTATTTACCCTTCACAATTCACAACTTCTAAACAAGCTGTGTTTCCAATTTAAATTACGAATGTATATTATATCAATCAGAAAGTATTATCAGATGTTAAACAGTATGCAAGTGTTTACTTAATAGTGACTATGTATATGTGTTTGCAGCTGATATAGAATGTAACGGCCTACAAGTAATACAAAATATACATGTTACATGTATTGTATATATATATACTAGTTCTACTATGTACAGGCTAAACAAGCTGAGAGACTAACGACAATAGACAGCCTGACACCAATCCCTTGGAAAATCTTCTACTTCTACCAAAACTGGTGAACAACTCTTTATATATCTCAAACAAAATAATTATATTATAATTTCCTACTTGTTTTAAATCACGTCCAACCTCTATATTGTAGTATTCCAGTGTTTTCATTCGAATTCACAGCTCACTTTTGAGTCTGCAATCACAATTTGCTCGAAAAGTGGAAAACCCACGAGAGGAGATAAACAGTTAAAACCGAAATTAATAATATTAATTCATGAAAATGATTCATTTGAATTATTAGATGTGACGTTAGCTGTGGTGATGTTTAAAGTGATAGTAGACTCTAGGATTTTACTGCATACAACTGTACTTACTGTATATCAAATCGTCTATACCCACATGTATTTGTCACCAGATACCTAATTTAATTGTTATAATTAATTACACATCAACGCTACGAAATTTGAACGGCGCCATGACACTCGTGATCGTGCTGCCACCCTGAAAAAGTTGCGTATTTGGCAATTTATTTTGCACGTTACAGACCGAGGGCTAATCACAAAGGTGCAATTATATTCATACCTAAATGCTATTTAACCGAACGATGTTCATTTTAGGACAAATTTATCCATAATATAATTGAAACTATATGCCGTTTATAAGATATTACAATGCTTTTGCTTTTAAATTAATAAATAAGAAACACCCTCGGTCTGTAGCCCTTAGCTGAAAAGTGGTCTTGCACAACTTATCAGATCGTGCGCTTTGAGTGGCGCCACCGTCGTTGTAATCAAACTGTAGTCGTTAGTTTTAAAACATTGTTTACTAATATTTCTAAATTCTAATGGAGATTAAACCATGAAACTTTTTATGTAGCGTAATTTTAACCTAAATTAACAGAAAATAACCCTAGAACCTAGAGTAAACTATCCCTTTAAAAACCGAGCCAACTATGCTTTTTTACAGCAAGAGGTTCCAACCATCTTTCGATGTACAACCGTTTCTTGGAGCACTAGTACTACATGGGCACCTTAGCCGTTTTACTAAATAAAATGATGGTAAATAAATACAAATTGTACTTACTAACAAAGTTTCAATGTTTATACACTCTACATCGCCTAATAATTCCACGTAGACGCTGTTTATATCCTTCTCTATAACACACAATCTTACCGCACGCACAGATGCCCTGCGCACAAACTCACAAAAGCTAGATTGCAAAATTGGCATCAGCAACCGACTAAATGGGTAATGGCAGACTAAACAATAATTGCTACCTGCTACGAAGCTCTAAAATCTAAAAATCTAATCTAATCCCAATCTGCAGATTGATTGCCCAAACTGCGGACGCGCTAAAATTCCTACTCCTAGTTTATGCAAGATTACAAGTTTGGGTACAAGAACGGCTAAAGTAGGCCTAACAGTAGCTCTAGTACTATAGCCCGCGTTCATTAACTGCCGCAGGACTAGAGAACATTTTCAGCTCGATTTCGTTCTGCAACCTGTTACCACCTGTCCCCACAAAAAATCGCAAAACGCAAAATGATCAAGCTTTTTAACACTTATTTATCTACATGGACATCTCACCTATCTTTATGAACACTTTACACAACTTTACACCATGTATTTATCCTTTTATTCCACAAAGTAAGCACTACTGGCATTTTATTTTGAAACGAAATGGCGTGCGCACGCGTGACGTCACCGGTATTGTATATACATGCCCCATAGCTGCCATGTGTTTTGCGTACATATTCGGTAACGTCACGCGTGCGCACGCCACTTCGTTTCAAAATGAAATGACAGTAGTGCTTACTTTGTGGAATAAAAGGATAAACACATGGTGTAAAGTTGTGTAGTGTCCAAAAAGATAGGTGAGATGTCCATGTAGATAAATAAGTGTTAAAAAGCCCGATCATTTTGCGTTTTGCGATTCATTTTTCGTGGGGACAGGTGGTAACAGGTTGCAGTTACGAAATCTAGCTGAAAATGTTCTATAGCCCTGCGGCAGTTAATGAACGCGGGCTATAGTACTAGAGCTAGCCTAACAGTAGCTCTAGTAACTATAGCCCGCTTACAGTTGCCGCAGGGCTATAAAACTTTATATGGCAACTGCGTATCGAGTTTTATTCTCACAACTTTTAGCCTATAATAACTTTTTCGGTATGCCAAATAAAACACATTCTCTACCGGACAAATGTCTTAAGTTACTATGAACACTAAAATACAACAGCAAACTATCGCTTAAATATTGTACTTGCGATATTACTCGTCGACAAAGATTGTTTATCAACTTGTAACCGCCATTTCTCGTTGCGCACGCTCGTGCGGTTCCGGCACCCGCTCACTAGCGCCGAAACCGCGCGAGCGTGCGCAACGAGAAATGGCGGTTAAAAGTTGATAAACAATCTTCGTCGACGAGTAATATCGCAAGTACAATATTTAAGCGATAGTTTGCTGTTGTATTTTAGTGTTCATAGTAACTTAAGACATTTGTCCGGCAGAGAATGTGTTTTATTTGGCATACCGAAGAAGTTATTATAGGCTAAAAGTTGTGAGAATAAAACTCATATGCAGTTGCCATATAAAGTTCTATAGCCCTGCGGCAACTGTACGCGGGCTATAGTTACTAGAGCTAGCCTAACAGTAACAGTCACGGTAACACATTCCACTGACACTGTATGTAGCCTACACAGCACAGACCAAAACATAGAGAGCGAACAACAAACTACGTCGGTATTTACCAGATATACACTTAATCAGATACTTAAATAAGATTATAGTTACTATACGTATGGTAATCTAGTACTTACATTCGTGTAGTGCGATTACTCGAACACAACCATTAACAATAAATTTTGACGCACACTTTACGTAAAATGTCGCCGCATCACCAGGATTACGTGCAGCGCCATCTAGTGCACATGAAAATAAACGGTTTAAATTTCATCGAAATCAGGTTAAATTTGTTATTTAATCAAATTAATAATTGTGAGCAGGACTAATTATGAAATAATGTGTAAGTTATTTTTGTCAATAAAATATAACTTATAAATGCATGGAAACCTTTTTAAGCATAATAATAGACAGCGTAATGATAGGGGGCCCTACTGGTAGGAAAATCGACATGGCGGCCTCCAGTGCATTTTCGACTTTCTAAACAGTCGTCGTGTATTTTTGGTTATTTTGAATAGCTGGTTCGGTTCTACATAGCATTTAGTCACAATTTTTTAAGGCAACATGCCTCCAAAATTTAAGCGTCATTTGGAGCCCGATGATGTTACCGGAGCGCGTATCCATGAAGCCGTATGTGTCACGACACTTCTACTAGTACTAGTACTACTACTAGTACTAGTACTACTAGTACTAGTACTAGTAGTAGTAGTAGTAGTAACGTACTACTAGTACTACTACTACTAGGTCCTCAATCTTGCCATGCTCTCTATCCTTGTACGACGTGGATATTCGTCCGAGCATTGGACACCTGCGCTGTTCATGTTGTTGCGTGTGGTTATACACCATAGATTAATTTGGTACTAATACTACTATGACACGCGTATATAAAATTATAAGGTAGCCGAGTCGGTTTATAGTTAGTGTTGCTGTTAGGGTTAGGGATAGGGTGACTGTTTGTTTTAACGCTGTGGCTATAACCCTGACAGCCGGGCACGGTCTTCGATTTCTTAAATGCCCAGCAGTTTGACCTCTCAGGTTTCAGATGCTCGGACGAATATCCACGTCGATCCTTGTACCGGTCCTATGAGTATGACACTCACAGCCAGGGCCTGCATACCTCCCAAAGTGACCGACCAATCAGAGCGCTCGAAGCTTGGGCACTAAAGCTGATGCGGTGTTTTGTGGTTGCATTATTTAAGCTGGCTATCGTGAGTGGATGGTTACTCACCGTAAGGGTTAGGATTAGGGTTTAGCTTTATATTTATCAGCTTTAGTGCCTGAGCTGCGAGCGCTTCGATTGGTCGGTCGACGACGCGTCACTTTGGGAGGTATCAGGCCTAGCTGGCGAGTGACTATGACTTATGTCATGAGACTGAACTATTAAAAAATATCCTTGTATTTTGTGTGTAATACTTTTACTCTTAATAATAATAATAATAATCAAGGAATGCTGTTGTCTCGATTGCGAGTCGCGCTAACAGGGGATTATTCGTGAAACCAGTCATATATACCGGTACGCATATTTCTGGATAGATTTCTGCCCACAACGGGCACAAGGCACAACCAGTTCACACGGGGCCAACACTACTTTAGTTTCCTAGTTTAGCACCCCGGATTAGTTTAGCACATGCGAACTATATACCGGGGTCCCAAAATAGGATGCGCAAGTAACACGTGCATCTTCTGCTCTGATTAATCCTAGTTGCAACCCTGGCCCTCATTTTGGCAAATCCATCTTCAAGGATCCCCAATAATTATAGCTTCTTTGTTTCTGTCATTTCATATTGAATTTTCTTCCTTCCTTTTTAGCTAATTGTAATTGTGAAGCTTTTTCTACTGCATTCTGCAGTGTTGATATATATGTCTTTTTGATCAACTTTGTCTATTATTTTCCTCTTCGATAAAGTCCCTTGGACTTTGAAGACTAATCTTTATTAGCTGGTCATAACCTCATCTACTAATAGTAGTTACAATCTGACACTGTTCCCCATGTATCTCCTGTTAACTCCTATAGGCTATTGTAACATGTATGTGTATTCAATGTAGTTATGAATGGGTATGTGCTTTGTAGCATAATTGCATGATCTCGAAGGCTCCCAGAGTAAAGATGTTGAATAATATGTAACAGTGTAAAGGCATATTATTACCTGTATTATTATGTATATTTATGTATTATAATTTAAAAATTGGGACATTTATATTTATATTTAAGTCTGCCAGAATTTGAATGTTTCGTGAAATCTTGATTATGGGCTCTGGGATAGGCCTACTGATAACCAGGTACCATGCAGTAATATACGTTACAAATTTTTGTCTAGACTATATTTGTTTTTTTCTTTGTAGACATCTCTCCTGGGTGCAGATGGAGCTGATGGTGAAGATGATGATGAAGGTGATGAGGATTTCTTCTTAAGTGGACCCAGCAAACATAGCCCAATGTCAAAAACCAGCTCTAAGCTTCATAGGTAACCATTTTATTCTGTAACTATTACTAATAGTAAGATACTTTGTGTGGTATCACATGTATATTTACAAGGGCCAGATATTAACATGTTAGCAAATGTAGCCAATGCTACAGGCCTTGCACTAGGGCTCATTTTAATAAACACCATGGCACTTGTTACCTTTATCATCCTTTTGATGTTATGTCAGCTCACAAAGACACTTGCTCCTGAATTCTCCAGAATCTGACTAAATGGTTTTGTAATGAGAGACTTACCCAATGCAAAATATGATAGGAGCACTGAGATGGAGATGCATCTATAGAAATAACAATCAACTCTTACATGACCACTGCTAAATCCCCTCTCACGTGTTTCAGTGTGAAATCGGAGGTGGATGGCGTGATGGGCATTATGAAAGAAAACATGGTGAAGTTGTTTGAACGTGGGGACAGGCTGGATGACCTGCAAGACAAATCTGGTAAGTGTGAAGTATTGATGTCTACATTTTCTTGTCAATCTTGCTTAGCGATGTCCAGATAATTGATTATAATCGAATGATGGTCGTTTGCAGTCACCAGTTAGATAGATCGGCTATGGAAACAACTATTGAACTAACACATTAGCTATTTAGATTAAAAACAACACTGCAAACTTTCATAGCTATAGCTCTTGTACTTCTTTAGTTATTCAAATTTAATTGCAAAGATGATAAATTTGCGATATATCCTGACAGTACCCTTAAAACACTTCTTGACAATTTTGTTCAAAATGTCATGACGCATTTTTACGTGTTTGTGTGTAACAAATTAGCAATAGCATAGCATAGTATTCAACTTTTTCAAGCCGTCTTTGAGATAATGTAGCCATTTTAAAAACGAATCATAGTAAATTCATTATATATGTGTTGATAAGTAGGCCTTGTAAACATACATCTTGTTTTTTTCTGAAGCTTTATAGTTTTCTGAAAGCATGTGAACACACTTTATATGTCCCTGCATGCACTATGATGAGTAACCGGTTAACCGATTGTAGTCATCGATTTGGGGGCAACCGATTTGAGAGTGGAATTCCAGCCAATTCTCATCACTAAACTCGCCCACGTTCTATAGTACCGGACAAATAATTTTAATGTTTAACTAGTGTATTTTATGCAATTGTGTGCTTGCTTTCAATAAAAATTATTTATACTCATTAACACTTCTAATAATGCACGATTTTGGGAGTATAGTAGGACTATTTATTTTTTGGTACTTGAGTGTTCTGATTTCCTTGCATGGAACGTATAGATCTATAGTTTGATTTCATGCACATGAGCAAGTGGTTAATCTCTAGTAATTATACAGTTATGAATCCGTTTTGTTTAATGTGTTATTAGCTCATCTGACGTAGTCAGATGCAGCTTGTAGAATCGCATGATTGTCTGTCCGTGCGTGCGTGCGTGCGTGCGTCAACAGTTGGGCACAAATCTTAAACGCTCGACGTACGGTCACGATATACGGGACGTGGGGGGGGGGAATCCGAAAACGAGGTGGTATGTTAAAGCTGGGGGTCAAAGGTCAAAGGTCAAGAGGTGTAAAAGAAGGGGGAACATTCCCTCCTTAACTTAAGGTATAGGGAGGAAATGCAGAATTGCGGCACAAATCTAAACGGCTCGACCTAGGCTCGTGATAGTCGGTGTATAGCATCATGGTAGGAAAAGCCATCACTGTGCCAAAATTGGAGGTCACAGGGCAAAGGTCAATGGGGCACAGGGCAGATTTTATACATTTTCTGAGGACATGGTCTGACGGAGCGATTGAAAAACTTTTTTGTATCAGCGGTGACCTAGCATTTTTATGGCTTTATTGAAAGGACTATGAAATGTACTTTCTGCTGACATGCGAAGAGTAAGTGTCGGATAACCTTTTGACCCACAAGAGGAAGGTTAAACATGGATTTGTTTATTGTTAGAAATAATTTGACTGCTGGGTTTGCTAGTAGAATCTATACATGCCTGGATGTATGAGGCTACAATGTCACAGTGAAATTTCAAAAGCTAAATTTGGTTGAAGAAGGTTTATGCTCCTTAAATCGTATAATTTCTATGGCATTCTGTACTGTCAGTGTGTTACATGTAACTTATGCCACTGCCAGTGGCCACTGCCAGTGGCCACTGCCAGTGCATGTGGTGGTGATAGTACTGTGTAGTTTTTGCTTACGTTAATTAGTTACAGGTGGCAGCTCTCTATTTCAGCCTGTAGGCTTGCGTAGGTAAATGGATGAGTGTTTACCTATTCTGTCTTGCAAATAATTGTTGCTACTACGTACGATGGGAGCTTCCATCTTTAATCTTAAGACACTTAAACGTACGCGCCATCTCGTGGCAACTTTCATAATGATCCCAACGAACATTCCTTTGAGAAGGTTCCTGATACCATCCCTGTGCCTTCCACTGTTTCGGCGCGTATGTGAACACATTTGGGACTAACAGGGTTTACTAGAATCCCACCACTCCACCACAGAGTCACCGCATTAGAATTTAGATGAGCGCTGTCGCTCCGCGGCACTTGTTACTTTTAAAAATTGTTTTACTTTATGGGCTGCCCCAGGTACAACTGAATAAGTTACGCACGAAGGGTCGTTGTCGTAACAGGTACTACAGATATGTACCCGAGGTAGTTTTAGGTTGTTTTGTATTATGTTTATATTTTTATATGAGGTATGTTTAGGGTTAGGGTTAGGGTTAGAGTTAGGGTTGGGGTTAGGGTTAGGGTTGGGGTTAGGGTTAGGGTTAGGGTTAGAGTTAGGGTTGGGGTTAGGGTTAGGGTTAGGGTACACTTATGTAGTACAAGTCTGCTACACTTTGTGTATACATATATGTACCTCGGGTACATATCTGTAGTACCTGTTACGACAACGATCCCTTGAGCATAAGTTACAGCGAGTCCAAAATGCAGCTGCTCGGCTTATATGCAATGTATCCAAGTTTGATCATATATCACCTGTTTTATATTATTTGCATTGGCTGCCAGTCTATTTCCGTATAGAGTTTAAAATACTACTCATCACTTTTAAGGCATTACATTGTATGTCACCAGATTATATCAGGGAATTAGTCACATTAAAGAGACCTAATCAGTACAGTCTGCGCTCTGGTAACCACATGTTAATTGAGCCACCAGCTGTAAAAACGTTGGCTACACTTGGCGATCGAGCTTTCTCATCAGCTGCCCCAAAATTATGGAATAAGCTACCTTGTCATATTCGATGTGAAAAGTCGCTGGAATCTTTTAAACGCCTAGTCAAAACTCATCTATTTAACATTGCATTGCACACATCTAGACATTATATTTTAGGTGTACATTTGATTTGAGTTCTATTTTATCGAAAATGTTGTATTATTGTCGTTTTTAGGATCTATATTTTACAATGTTGCAGTCCGCTATTTATAATCAGGAATTGTTTCAGGATTGTCGTAATTTAAGTATCTATATTTTACAGTGTTGCAGTCCGCTGTTTTATAATCAGCCTTTGTAATGCGCACGTGAACATATCTGCATGTAACGTGTGCAATATAAATCAATAAATATTATTATTATTATTAAAAATCCCATGTGAAAGATTTTATGTTTTAGTCTTGATATATTTCACTCCCCAGGTATACATTTAATTCTGTATTTGTCAGAAATAGAATTGATAAGGTTTTAATTTGATCTTGTAGATCAGTTGACATCCAGTTCAGACATATTTCGCATGAGTGCTCAAGATCTCAAGAAGCAAATGTGGTGGAGGGAATGCAAGGTATGTAATCATCCTTCCCATTTTGTAAACAAATGTCTGCTGTTTAACAGGACGAAGTAGAAAGAAATAAACCTATAACTTGTCCATATATGTTAAATAATTATTAGGATAATTATTATTATTGTCGTACGGATAACGATTGATATTGTGTTTTTGCCACTCCACACCACATTATTTAGTGATTTTACATGTTTTTGTTATTGCAGATGAGACTAATCCTAATTGCTGTTATTGTCATCATCATGCTCGTCATTATTTGTAAGTATTTTCTCATTAGTTAGTATTTTCCCAATTATCTAAAATACAAAGGATTCACACGTAAGTTTCATCGCCATGGAACATTGGAAGTAAGATGTAATTATAACAATAATGATGCTTTATTAATCGTATTGATATTTAGATACAACAGTCATCATTATATGGGGTTTATAAATAACTTTTCAGTGCCAATCATCATACAAGCAACAAAGAAGTCATAACTTACAGCAGCTGTTCGGACTGCAGGTGTGACTTGGTGTAAAGCCCACGTGCTAATGGATGCCATACTATAATTAAACACTGAGCTGCAAAATTCGCTGCTGCGCACAGAGCCATAAAAGAATGACACTGTGTAGCAGGTCAATCACAAGCAGTGTACCGTCGGGGAATGTACCTATGGAATAGATTATTTATTTTGTAAAATATGACATTCAAACCTATCTGGCCATGCAAAGTTGGCTCTTTATTTTCATTCAATGAAATGAATATTATACAATGAAATTAGCATGGATTGCATTAGTAGAGTCAGCTTGTCCCGATATCTCATGAAGACGAGGACCTTGAATGTTCATGGTTATGATATAGGATCAAGAGTGAATAATAATAGATTATAATCTATTGATATCTATTATTATAATCTATTAGTATTCACTCCTGATAGAATTATAGTAAAAAAAAACGTGTTCAAAATTGGAGTTCAGTGATTATTGGCCAGTTGGGTTAATGAACAGATTGTGGTTGTTTTCCTGAGACTACTGCTGGACCCAGTGAGACTTTCCAGGGTATGTCAAGAGTAACTGTTCAGTGTCCCGTTGGCCATCAAAAGGAGGGATAACCGTTGGTTTCTTTGTAGCCAGTAATGAAAACGTGTGTTACCAGCATATTCCTTTGGTATTAGGTGAACTTGGAACAGGCTCACTGGCTGTATAATGCAGTCTTTATCTGAACTGTAACTTGCTCTTATTTTTCTGTGCTATTATGATTGGCCTATGGTTTAAATGTCATAAAAACATCATCATATTCATGTTGGTGGACTGTCGTATTCAAGGTTTCCGCTGGTGGTGTTAGTGTGGTTGTGTATGGTGGTATGTATGGTGCATGGCAGTGGTGGTAATGGTGGTGTGGTTGCAGGTTTTGCTGAAAGGCATGCTATAGTTCTTCTATCTTCCCAGGATGAAAAAACAGCACCAGTGTCATTTAATGTAGAAACATTCTAGGTCGCTATATTTGTCGCAGGTTTATCGATTAATTTTCTTATACAACAGTTGGGTATCAAGTTGAAAACCGTTTTTTTCTATGGAATTAATTATAAAGCTAACCACCTGCGCTATACACTCGTGTTACAGACACGCTTTATGACTCGTTTTTTTGCACTGAAGTAACTGAACTTCGTTACAGATCATGCCATCTGTAATATCCTTATAATTTAGTTAATAATAAATATAAAAAAATGCGATGAGCATTAATATGTGCATCAAGCATAGGGAGCCTTGGTGTTGTCAGAAAATACCATTCAGTTCATTTCCAATGTAACTCAATAAGCGAGATATGTTGTTCCGTATCTATGGACTTTGTAGTATCAGATTTGGTGTTAAGTGGTTACCAATGATTAGCGAATGAGTGTCTATATCTACATATCCACCTATATATTTATCCGGTTCCCCAGAAATTAGATTTCTTCTTGGCACACCCCTCTTTGGCAACTCTCCTCGCTCACTCGCTGTCGACTGCCTATTAAAACGTAATGAGTAGAAAAGGGCCAGGCAACACCCATGTCCTATGGCCCCACCCAGTAAAGCAAGAATATAGGGGGCCTATAAGTGACAGAGTAAAGATGCTCGGCATCGTATCGTGCGACAAAACATATTTGAAAAACATGACGAGTTTTCCGTTAGTTGAATCTAGTCGTTCGTCACGAATTATTCGTTGCTAGGATGGCATCTACTATTTTCACCTAAGCTCTAGAAACTAACCTAGTCGAATTATACGGCCGTGCTGCGCACCCAGGTCTCTTGATTAATTTTATGCCCAGTAAAAGTGTCATTTCAAAAACTTGTTAAGATTGAACGATGATGTTGAATACCATTACTTGTTAAAGTGGTTTGTAATACAACAAGTTCACTTCCCTGCTATTGCTAACTTATTCCAGTATAATGTCTCATGGAAATTACTTGACAGAGAGTATATATTTTTATGGTTAGTTTTGTGTTTAGCGTGGAAAAAGATTCTCACATGAATATATTTGAATTTATTTATGCTTCTCCTTATAATGTAGTAATGTACATGATTTAGTTACTCTTCCAGTGTTATTGGATTTATATATTATAAATTGAACATTATTAAAGCACGGCATAATGTGGTTCCGAATGTAGAGCACACGGGTACCAATAATAGTTTTTTGCATCTATTTATATATTTGCTGAGTCGTTAGGTATGCTGATAGCATGAATATATCTCTACTCTAATAAAATCTATAGTATAGATCTGTTCGTGCCGATAGCAATAGTAACACACGCTTGGTAATGTCATTATCTTTGTTTATTGTATTGGACAATGATCAAATATAAAACAAACAACAATGAATATAAATATGCGGATAAAACGAATATAGAGCTCACATAGTGTATGTATGTATATAGTAATCTCAATACTAGTTGATCTGGTGAATGCAAATTGAAATAAAACGTAGTATATTATTATTATTATTCTCATTACTGTTTTATGATTGATATGGCACATATTGACTTCGTTCAACCTAATTCGGTAAACTTGTCCTCGATCGTTTTACATCATATATTTTGCAATTTGTTTCTCATTGCAAACCGTGTCTGCACGCATGAACGGAGTGATGAAGCAAAAACACCTAACGTTCCCCCTGCTGGGGAGCATGCAATAGTATAAGCACAATGCGTAGATATTCGATTGCATCAAAGAAAGTAACACGGTATGCCCCGCTCCCCAACTATTTCAGCACGTGAAATATCGTCGTTCGTGGTTTTTATTCACCCCTCATACTTTGTAACGCATGAGATATAGCGTTTTCGATTTCCCAGACTGCCGTCATAGCTGCTGCCTTAGAACACACGTACTGCCATCATATCTCCCGTACGAGGTGATGACAAATCTCCCTGCTCTGTTTTGTACCATTGGAAATTTCCATTAACTTGGATATATTCCACGTGAGCCCAACTATCCAGTTGTACTCTTAGATATGGGTATGAAGCGACATATTCCAGGGTGGGTTTGTGAATATGGTCTCTGTACTTTCACTGCCTCTCCCGCAGTAGTGAGATGTTCATTACGTAGCTCGTGTGTCTTACGGATTACTAATCTCAAGCTATAGGAGACAGCAATCGGAAAATAAGCAGGTCTTTGAAGAAATGCTGTCTCAATGGTCATCGATAAAAGGGACAAGACGCGGGGCCAGAACCGTTCCTTGGGGGGTACTGCTGAAGTGCGATGGCCCAGAAGTCGCCGTACACCGCCAACTTTTGGCTGAACTGAGATAGGACTGCGTCTACCCAGCGTTATAGGTGTCGGCGGATCCGGATACCATAATCGTTTAATTACTACATGGAACTAGCGATTGTGTTGTACCTTGGCAGCTTTACTGAAGAAGCTAATTATAACATCAGCCTACTTTCTGTTTTTGATGCTAGATATAAAGTCATAAGTTCATTGTTATCACGTGGGACTCGCAGGATCGATTGCTACGGAAACCATGCTGGCAATCGACTAGAATCGTGTTATCTTCTAGATGGTTTCTGACTTGAATATAGATGACGTGCTCCAATATCGTGTTTTTCTATGAATAACATGATTTACTAGTTTCTCAATATCACATCTACAACAATATAATTGTACAGAATATACGGTATATATAACATATGTACACGTACACAACTAACTGACGAAGTTAATTGTGTATATTGTAAACTATTTGCATTGACCCTTCTTTTAGAAGTATATGGTCAGTTCAGGTCTGGCTATGTTCGGCGGATCTTCGCTGTCATATATTGGCTCTACGCTCACGTTGGGGTCCAATATTGTCTGAAATAACAGTTTTTGAAATGGTTTAATTCACTGCGTCATCTCGAAATGTTGTAATAGTTACGATGAATACATTGTGCATGTTTAATAAATTTTCGTGGCTAACCGGGACGCGGAAAAGCCGAAGTTGCGATTTTAATTGTCCGGGAACTGGGACGTCGCATTTACCTCGACTTGTGAGTCGGCCTGTGGATGCTCGCCACCCCAGTCATCCACCTCCTCTGCTCCGCCTATTGTCACTCTCTTCTGCCGTCTTCTCTGGCCTGTGCTGCCAATGGGCTCGCCTCGGGTGCCGGCAGGCGTCTCTGTCAGCGGTCGATCCGTTCTGCTCTTGTTCGTTTGCGTGTAGAGCTTCTCAGTACTGCTCGCGTCCACCGGTCGGTCGCTCTGATCCGAGACGTCGTCGCCTGGTTCCGTCGCTGCGTAGCCGCCGTAGTTATTGTAGTACGGTCTGGCTGTGCCTGAAGATCAACAGATGACGTGCTATTTCATAAAGAGTTTCGTTACGACTGCGTCTACCAGTGTGGATTCGCCGTTATTTATTGGTGAAGTAATGTCGGAGATAGGTGACTTTATTTTGTTCACGTCTCGCCGCGGTATAAAGGCATATGTGTGAATATAAACAATGAAACAAGCGAGCAAATAAACAAACAAAGATAGTCAAACACGCATGCACGCGCGCGCACACACACACACGCATGCACGCGCGCACGCACGCACGCACGCACGCACGTACAAAGATGTAGAGAAATACGGCTGTTATATATTATGTACCATGCCAGTTGCCTATTTATGGGCACAGTTGATAGTCAAGTAGGCTTACAATTGAGTTATTTCGTGAAGCACAGGTTTTCTGCGACTGTATTGCTTTAGTGTCTGTAACGGGCTTCATCCACTGAAGCTTCTCATTTTTACGCGAGTTTTAGCATTATATGCTGACACTCTAAATCAATTTTTACATTTCACTGAAGCGTAACGCTCAAGTGCTTAACAGCAGGTGACCAAGGTGAGAATCAAACCCCAGACACATCAGCCTAAAAATTTCGAGTGCTATCCAACCATGAGGTCACCACCCCTGCAGAAGTAGACCTATATTCATACTTTAGACAGAAATTACGCGTGCGACTACTGAAGGTTTCATGATTTTACGTACCACCGATACTTTCCGCTGGTTTTCGTTTTTTGTCGGGCGCGGAACCCAATGCGCTGACAGCGAACAGCTGGCTTTGTGGATCGATTCTGGAAGACTGGTGAGTGGCGTTGTCATCTTTCGCGAGCTTTGTCAACCTTTTCCTGCAAAAATAGCGTCACGCAACGTTAGAGTGGTTTTGTGCGCCGCTTGCGTGCGTATCGGATGACTGCGCGCGTGCACACGGTCGTTTAAGCGTGCTTGATTGTGGTTTGTTCGTTTGTGTCGGTGTGTTTGTGTGTGTGCGTGCGTGCGTGCGTGCATGTGTACCTGGATGCGTGCGTGCGTAGGTCCGTGGGCGCGCGCGTGTTGGTGTGTTCATTAGTACATAGGTTTTATCAGTAAGCGTGCGTGCGCGTGCGGGTGTATGCGTATGTGTGTGCACGTGCGCGTTTTTGTACACTTGCGTGTGTTGCGTGTGCATGCGTAAGCGTGCGTACTGCCTGACTGTCTAAGCGTGAACGTTCGAAATATGCATGTATTGCATAATTAAATGCAAGGTATAGCTGGCGCAAACATCCTTGCCTGCAGTATTCATGATGACAGCAATATACTCATAATAAACAAAATTTCTGTATGTTCCAAGCGTATAAATACTTCTCATAACTTAATTCATAGACAGTTACAAGCAACACTGGCGAATGGTAGAATATATTCGCCTTTGTTAATCCTGTCCAACATACCTGATGTAGTAACACAGAGGACGGTGGGTGCACCGCACAGCACAACATCACACGGTAACAAATATAGGTACAGCGTAGTTCGGAATATAGGAATGTAGATTTAATGAAGTTGTAGTATTAGAAATAGTAGAAATAATATAATTAAGTAGAATTGTGCACTTTACAATAGAAAAGAAGAGTGGGGCTTCACAATGTGCCACGATGTGCATCAACACGCGAGGTTAGTCATTCTTCCAAGGTTAACATTCGTATTCGACAAAGCTAGAATCACACTCATCTCAAAAATACTTATTTTTTTACATTGCTGCATAACGTATTATATTTGTTGTACAACTCTGGATCACGCTATAAGTAAATTATACTGTGTGCGTGTGTGCGCGTGTGTGTGAGATGTGTGTGCGCGCGTGTACGTGTGTGCGTATGTTAGCGTGTGCATGTGAGAGATGTGTGCGCGCGCGTGTGTACGTGCGCGCGCGTGTGTAAATTGAGCAAGCTTAACATTCGCGTGTGTGAACCGATCTAATATTTCGATCGGGCATGTGTGTATGCGTGTAAACCCATCAAATTCTTCTATTATTTGACACAATTTTCAGAGTCAAATTTCAGTAGTTGATTTGGCAAGAGCGCCATAACACAGTTAGTGTCAACCACTCGTGCAACACAGCAATACTGACAAAACAATGTAGACAATAAATATAATGACAAGACATAGTAGCAACATAGCAGCGACAACTTATTTCCATATGCGAAACGTCAGCAATAGCATGGATCGAATATAATAAACTATCGACACCTTCGCGAACATATCTATATTAAGATTTATGGACACACGGAAAAATATCTATAAACCGTGCATTATAAATTTAATAAGAATTTTAGACCATGTAAATGGCCTTATATATAAAATAAAGTCATCTAATAAAAGATCTTATACACTTTTGTGCAAACGTATCGCTAAACTCGGTCATATCACGATATACCACCCCCGAACAGGCAGATAATAATGATGGAAGTTGTAATACGCATCGTATTATTGCTTCTATAGGAAAGCATCAATGGCGTGAGGGTCATCTATACACGGAGATCGAACTAGACTTCTCGCCATCACGCAGCATAGCGTCGCGCTTAGATAAGCAAGCGGATATCATGGTCCATATAACGCGATAGGCTATTTGACGTGCCCATACATCATCAGACTATGAACATTCCCCTCGGTATAATTATGTATAATTACAGCGATCTCCGCCTACTCGACAAGATTTAAATCTCAATTCTTTACGTCAATCAATTCGTAATCCTTTAGACTTTGTTCACTCGCAGAGCTACTAGGCTCACTGAGTTCCTCCGAGTATGCCAGCGGCGCCTCGTTACCGCGTGGTCTTCCCAGAATAAATCGGATCCTGATGAACAAAAGTAAGTATAGGAGATCATCACCGCTCCCGCTCATGTGTGAGACAGATCTTCTCGCTCCCGTATGTGTGTCAACCCGTTTCAGTCAAGCAGCCGTCCGCCATCGACAGTGGTTACCACGGCGCTCGATGCCCGCCAACTATGCGTACAACCGGATATCCGAAATGAATCAATCCGAAGATCGGTATTAAAATTTTGATTCGGAATTTTACTCAATTTTGGTTTCGTAATCGAAGGAACGTTTCTAGAAAAGTTCGATTCGATGGAATTCTCGTTTAGTAAATCGATGTTTCTTTAACAATTTTAGAAGCAAGATTGTTGATAGATAATTGTGAAAATATACTAGTGGCATTCCTGATCATCCATGGACCACGTTATCGTGATATAATCGCTGTGAGATCCAAATAATTACCATGTAAACAATATTGAGACCGAGCCGATTAGCATTTAAATTGCAATAGCGCGATGATTTCGCTACCATGCATGCAGTGCAAGCAGAGAGCATGTAATTGTTTACTCGTGAGTAGGTTATATCCATCACTCGCTTAACCGATCTCTTATCGTTCGGGTTAGTTTAGTGTTAGTGACTATAATTTCTCCAAATTGCTACCCTAATTTGCTATGTTTTATTGCGTTTATGCGAGGAGTTCGTTCCCGGAGGTTTGTAAGACTATATTTGTTAAACACTACAGCATTCTATAAGCGCGTACAGCTAACTATAACGCTTGTAGTGAAAGCTTAGCCAGAGCAGGCGTTATATTGTATCAGCGTGTATGACGGACGAAGCGACAGAAACTAAAGATACTTTCGTAAATAGTATCATTAGTCTGACCCGCGACGCAAGCGCTTAGCGTACGGTAGCGCGTGAAATTTCCAGTACCACATGCTCGTAGCGACATTAGCTGTTGTATTTCCAATTTTTAGTATACTTAAAACTAAAACTGTATTTCGCAGATCTTCTGATAATGTGTACACGTTGTGTATTAACGGACAATTGTTACACGACTCTCAGATCATTGGGATTAATTGAAAGGTATAATTACCAGTATGAAATTGACGTGCATTTGTCCCTCACTAGAATCGAGTTACATAACACATTACATTGTTTTGTAAACTTCCCCATATCATACTCGCAGGCAGGGAGCCAGATAAATATCAAGATATATAGATATCCCTTTATTTATTTTCTTTCATTCCGTGCGCTGAAACGCAGGTCGCCGCTAATTTAAATATTCATGCACCATCTCATGCATAATTTCGATATTACATTCCTAGTATGAGCTCAAAATATCAATACGATATAGTTTGAGACTGTATTTGCATATAAATACAGTTGTGCCAGGTTGGCAGCTGAACCCATATAACAAACAGTAGGCCTATATGTTGATGCGTATATACATAATTTATACATCCGCCACACAGCACAATCACAAAAATAGAAACAACTACGAAAATAACAGTTTCTATTGTAGCTAGGCGATACTCGATACCTGATAAATGGTGAGTTCAATGTTGGTGTATCGTTGCAGTATTAACAACAAAAGTATCACAATCTAGAAATATCCAGAATAGAGTTCTTCTATGGCAGAAAGGCGTTGGTCGAGTATAAATAAAGTCTCAAACTGGTTCTCTCACTTGATTTGATTTATGATAACTTTCTTAATCAATACGCAACATTATCCAATTGAATACCTCACTGCATAAATCAGGACCGCAAATGATACACGCAGCGCAGCAATCGCTATACCTAACAGCTTGCAGCATCAGAGATACACTACAGTACAGACATATAGCTTTCGCAAAAACTACGTGCTTACTCCACTAAATCATCCCATGCGGCAATAGCAGCACTACATCACATACTTACACTCTGTTTAGCTTCTCGAGACGCGTTCTTACGAAAAGTAAACAAAAGCAAACATTTGAGTTAACACCCCCCAAAAGTACACGCGTACGAATGCACGCACGCATACACACTACTCATATCCGCGTTCACTCAGCCTCTGCAGTAGAAAAGTGGAGCAGAAATGTAAATGGTACGGTGTACCGTATTTTATTTATCAACAATTACGGGCGGGAACACAACGAATACAAGTTGCGTAACACACAAGGCGTGTAGGATGATTACGGTAGTTCAGGGAAACACTAAGTAATGACAGAAGAAACAGTGCAAAGTGCAGAATAAGTCATGGGTAGGGTACTATCAGTTATGCGTTTTTGTAATGTCATACCTACCAATGGTACGGTTTAACATTCATTCATACAATTTATTACACATGTGCTATATACGTTCCTCCACTCCCCTCGCTCTCCATCTTCTCATCCTTCCTCTCTGTCTGTCTGTCTCTCTCTCTCCCTCTCTCTCTCTCTCTCTCTCTCTCTCT